GAAGAAACTGGACTTGGACATTGACTGACAACATACTCCAGGGTACTTGGGAACCCGTGACTGAAATGCATCCACAGCACAGATGTCAATAAACACTGCTAGGATTACACATCATGATGCCCCTCTGTTTGTAAAGAGTGATATATAATTACTCATAGCCAACTGCTAGCACTCTTATTCTTCAGGCTTAAGAACAAGAAAAAAAAGTTGCTCCAAGTCCTGAGTGAATGGACATCTGGGCAAGATGTATAAGGAGCAGCTGAGCCTCCTTGCAGAGCTCAGAGAAGGGGATATGAGCGGAAACCTCATGGTAGCCTGCAGCTCCCCATGGTGGCTCACAAGTCCCCAAGGTAGTAGACACAGCCCCAAGCTGCTGGAGCTCAGGGAGTGTTGGGACATCGCTCTCAGCCATAGGAGTTGGGTTTTGAAAGGTTTCTGCGGAGCCAGGAGTTGGACTCAATAATCCTTAAGTGTTCCTTCCCATTTGGGACATTCCTGGATTCTAATGCATTGGATACCATAGGCTTCTACACTGAGTCAGAAGGAATCATTCTGCAATTGAATCTGGTGTTTTTTTTGCTGTTAAAGTGTCACGCATAAGGATTACAGCAGGTTGGTAGATGCCAAAACGAACCTGGTCATCCAACTCTGACAGTGGACACCAGGTAATGCTGTAAGAAAGCAATAACAATCCATATACAGTATAGCCTCCCAGGCTTCAGGTAGAGTGAGCCAGGGAGCTAGACCCAGGGAACTAAACCTTGTGACTTTGTATTACATATACTTTTAGGTGTTTTGCTACACAAATTTCTCCTGTAACTAGGTCATCCCAGCCTTCCATTCTCTTATCTATGGGCAGCAGGCTGCTGTGTTTCAGAGAACTATCTATTCTTATCACGATTGTATTTCTGAACAGCAGTGATTGACACTGAGCTTACATCTGTGTATGGATACACACCACTTATTTGCATGTTTACACTCTAACGCATGCTGCTTTGCTGCAGGGTGCTTTTCCAAGCAAAATAGGACAAATGCTAACATTTTCCATAGAAAATAAAACCAGAGTGAAGGGAGGAGGAATACAGAAGGTTTTCAAAGGTGCAGAAAACATGATTTCCACACAACATTCATTATGATGATAGGAGGCACCGGGTATAAAATACAGCGAGAATAGTTACACTCCTTTGGAAAACAGCAATCTACAAACTGTTGGCAGATCTGAGACCGTCGTAGTATCACATGGTATATCATTGCTGGAAAAGACCTCCAAGATCACCTAGTCTGAACATAAGCTTCAGAATATAAAGACACGTAAAAGGACATCAAAGACTTCTGCCATGCGATCTGCAAGAACATGCCATTTGGTACATCCAAAATCTAAATCAGTAAATTATCACTCTCTTCTGTTGAACACAAGCAAATATCTGCATTCAGCTTATTTTGTATTTGCCTTGCTGAAACTCACTGGAAGCTGAATAAACCCATGACAGAGTATAAGTGAAGAAAAGAAATTTAACTCAAAGAAACTGTGGTACAAATATGTAATGATACCATGTGACCACACTTCAGAAGTGAGAAGGAAATATCAGAGGAAAGAAATGTGTGTCTTCCATGACGAGTAAGAAATGTCTGATGCTAACAATTCTTTTAACTATATAGGTTGTCTATGAAACTCCTGCAGAACAATTCTGATAAAAGTCAGTGTCAAAAAACACATACAAAAAATGATTTGCCAGTTACCAAACAAACATTCTTTAAAAACATAGAAAGAATGCAAATTAATTTAAAATAATTTTTGAATTAATGAAACGCATTTTATCATTCAGATGAAAGAAATACTTGTTACACTACATGAAGATGAAACTAGGCTTGCATCTGACAGAAAAACAATATGTATTCACCAAGGACACCATACAGCAGATGAAGTCAAACTTTTCTTGGATTTCTCTGAAAATATTAATTCAAATAACAGTCACCTGCCTCCATTTCAGACCATGGAGAAAAAATGCCAAGAATCAGATCTATTGAAGTATTTCAGAAAGAAAAAGATTACCAAGAGCACTAAACATCCATAAGCCATGAAATTACATTGCTTTGGAAAATGTGTAATGTGAGAAAATGAACATACCTTAGGCAGTGGTTTCATCTCAGCACAGTTCATACCTCCAACAAAGACCATATTGGGCATCACCGGTCTGGGATACTCAAACACAAAGTCAAACCTCATTATTGAAATAGAAGCAGAGTTCAGGAGGTCCAGCAGGGTTACATCTCTTTGAAGAAGTTCAGAGGAAAACTTTATTGCATCTTGATAGATGGCATTACAGTAAAAGAGCTCCAGGAGAGAAATCAGTGTATTTTCCACTCTCTGGAAAAATGTCATGTGGTCTGAATTGAATGAGAGTGTTCTGGGGACAAATGACATAGGGCTTGGGCACTGTGCTGCTTCAAAGTGTAGATTGCAAGGTAATCCTCTCATAAAGAAAACAAATGGAAGTGAAAGATAATTAGCAACTGTTGCTCCACACATAAAAAAAGGATCTGTGAGGACTGCATCGAAGCCACTTTGATTCAAGTACTGCAGTGTTTCCGTGCTGCTGAACAGTTCCTTGCACTGACTATAAAAGGATTCGAAAAGGTGTGTGAAGTCATTGAAGAGTGCTATAACATTTTTTGGGAAAGGCATACTCTTCAGGTGAGTAGCAAGGTACATTTTAAAGGTATTATCCAGATCTTCTAACTTGGTGGACACTGGGTATGTTTTCACAGTGTATGCATGTCCATGTTTGTCTCCCGTATTCCAGCTTACTTCTGGTTTAAGCACCACCACTTCATGTCCTCTCTCAGCAAGCTTGTGAGCTACTTCCTTCATGCTTAGCCAGTGGCTTCCAATCATGGGCACCACCAGGAGTTTCCCTCCTTCAGAGAGGCCAGGAATGAGGAGGATAAAAATCCAGGCAGCAAGAGGATAGCAAAGCCGCAACATCATTTTCCTGTGGACAGAGTACTGACTGTGAAACTGTCTCCTACTGCAGCCTCTAGCTTGAATATGCTTTTATAGGATGTGAATGGATGTATTTGCTGAGCTGTGCTGCTTTCTGGTTATATTCCAGTTAATGTTTTACTCCTCAGATCTGTGCTCAGTTATGGGTGAGTGTTGTTGTTGCTTTTTTTTTTTTTTCCAGTTTCTTGTAATGCCAAATATAGTGAGCCTTCACTGTGTTGACTCACAGAATCGCAGATTCATTTGAGTTCTTCAGTGCCCAGTGAAGAACTAGCTCCTTAATATCCTAATTAGTTTTCTTAGAACATTTCTCTTGATCATTGTTATGTCCTGGTCAGGGTAAAGGAAGGCAAGTTTGGTGAAAAGAATTCACACAGTACAATAACAAAGAAAAGAGCCTCAACACATTAGATTATGGTTGGATACACAGATGTTCAGAGAATTTCTCTGAAAACAGAACAGGAGGATGTTCAGTTACTGGCTAAAATGAGATCAACAAAGTCTTTTGGGCTACCAGGAAGGGATTATCCTTACAGCCTACAGTATGGCACTAAGATGAGACATTTAGAGAGAGTATTCTGGCATCTGAAGCAGAGATCTGTGCATTTGAAGTCCAGCATCTTACTTCCAAGGAGCGATGCATTTTTTTTCACAGACTAGAAAATGGCCACGAAACTTCTGTTATGCAGCTGAAAAACTCTTCAGCATTATAGATATCAAGTAGAATCAGATACAACATGGTGTACTTAATATGTGTAAAGGTCTCACAAAAGAGACTCACCTGTGGGCCCAGCTATCAGACCTGATTTTTAGCTAAAGAGCATAGAGCAGCTTGTGTTCTACCAGGGAAATCCATTGCCCTCCTTTAGGCTTCCACTACTGACTCTCAGCTTGCAGCATGACGATTGGAAAATCCCAACTTGCAACACCGCTAATAGGGAAGGTAAAGGGTGCAGAGTCAAACTGAGGACAAGGGAAGTTAATCAGTACTTTAGGGGAGCTTCCACGTGTCTGCTGGTTTGCCAGGATCTCGCTTATTTTGCTTGATTATTCTGGCAAGGGTTTGTTTACGAGTTAATTTTTTCTGGATTCAAGGCAACGCTGGATAACAGCTGGTTACCTCTGAAACTGATTTATCCACACAAAGAGACGGTTTGGAGGTCAACGAACTTGAGGCTTGAGTGGGAAGGGACATAGTTGGGGCATGATGAAGGAGGAACCGTCTTTCATCTGAAGATGCACTCTTTTGAGTGATAGGACAAGGAGGAATTGCTTTACACTAAGAGAGGAGAAGTTTAGGTTATTTGTTAGGCAGGAATTGTTTACTCAGGGGCAGTAATGCGCCGGTACAGCCTGCTGTGGTGCCTCATCTCTGGAGGCACGCAAGGGGCAGCCTGAGCCGGTAGAATGCCAGAGCAGAGGGGCTGGAACTGGACGGGCTTTAAGATCCCTTCCAACCTCAGCCCTTCTATAGTTCTCTACGGAGGACCACGGGGCTGTGCTGATAAGGCACAGCAGAACGTAGGGCCGTAAGCACAGAGCTGCCACAGCCCGCGTTATCCGGCACGGCGGACTCCATTCCCCAGCAGGCCCGGCCCCTCGGCGCGCTTTGCGTCGCGCCAAAACAAAAATGGCGGCAGCGGCGACACAGAGGCGGCGGCTTTGGGCCGTGCGCTTGTTGTGAGCGGTGCGGATCCGGCCTCTTCCCGGCCGGAATCAAGGCAAGGCCGAGCGGAGCGCTGCCGCAGCTGCTTGGCGGGGTGGAGTCGGAGCCGGGTGTTGGGCGGGGGTGCAGCCCGCGAGGGGAAGAGGCGGCTGAGGAGAGGTGGGAGGCTGGCGGCGGAGGTGAGGTGATGTGAGGGGAGTGGGGGGGTCTTGTTTCTTCGAAGGGAGCTTACAAGCAGGAGGGAGAGCGACTTCACACGGCCTGGTACGGACGGGATGAGGGGGAATGGCTTTAAATTGAAAGAGGGGAGGTCTGGATTGCATATTAGGAGGAGATTGTTGACTCGTTGGGTGGCGAGGCGCTGGCACGGTCTGCCCGGTGAAGCTGTGGGTGCCCTGAGGCGTTCAAGGATGGGGGCTGGGCAACCATTTTTGTTGGCGAGCAGCCCCAAGCCCCACCTCGTTGGAACTAGATGGGCTGTAAGGTCCCTTCCAGCCGAAGCCGTGCTGTGATTTTACGTTTTCGAATCCGTATTTTATGATTTTTAAGGGAAGGAAGGTGCTGGCAGTGTGCTGTGGTTTAAGCCAGCAGGTGGCTCAGCACCGCGCAGCCTTGCTCTCACTTCCCTCCTTCCCGGTGGGATGGGGGAAAAACAAAGTAGAACTCAGTAGGCTGAGATAAAATTATTTATCAAGATAGAGAAAAAGAGAAGGATAATAGTTACGACTATATATATATGTATACACACACAATATGAATTTATCTAACAAGTAGTACACATGCAGTTGCTCACCACCCCCTGAGAAATGCCCAGCTAGCCCCTGAGCAGTGGAAGAGAGAGAGAGGAGCTCCCTCCTCCTTCAGAACTCCTTTTGCTTGATACCATACGATATGGAATATTGCTTTGGTCAGTTTAAGTCAGCTGTCCTAATTCTGTTCCCTCCCAGCTCCTCAGGCCCTTTGCTGCAAATTGCCTCGGCTCTCTACAGCACTGCTTAACAGCTGCTATAAACATCAGTGTATTATCAACATTGTTTTCCTCCTAGAAACAAAACACAGCATAGTACTAGGCACTTTGAAGAAAACAATTCCTTCCCAGCTGAAACCAAGACACAGTAATGCTTTGAGGGTCCTGAAGCAAGGAGTGAAGGGGGGTTTGGCACTGTCCTGCTTACCTGCTCCTCTGGAGTGGTGAGGGGTGCTCAAGTCAGCAGTGAGGTGGTTATTGCTTCCCAAGCGTGTGTGCTTTTATGGTGAGCAAACCTGTTAGGATTGAAGTATATGTTCACACAAGAACAATATGAATCATAATCTTTGTCTGGTTAAATGGTAAATATGACACACCCACTGTAAAATAGATGAAGGTTGAGAGCTTTTGAAGGGTGCTTAGCTTATCAATCATGTCTTGAAGCAGGGGAGGTGAGGTCAAAGGTTTTAGAGCTGCATTCAGAGTAGGTATTGCAAAGAAGGTTTGTCCCCTGTATGTGTTCATTACTTCAACTGCATGATTTTATTTTTAAAGGAGTTTTTAAATTGATATGCATTGTATAAAGCGATAAAGAAGTGTTATAAAACAAATAAGAGTGAACGTTTCCATGATGCTTCATAGTCAGCTTCTCAGAGCATAGCCTTTTGCATAAAAAATAGGCAAGAGGATAAAATTACTTAATTTAATGATGAGGTTGTGGATGCCCCATCCCTTGCAGGCATTCAAGGCCAGGCTGGATGTGGCTCTGGGCAGCCTGGTCTGCTGGTTGGTGACCCTGCGCAGAACAGGGGGTTGGAATTAGTTGATCATTGTGGTCCTTCTCAACTCAGGCCATTCTGTGATTCTATGTGATTTTATAAAAATAGATTTTTCAGATACCTGAAGAACTAGCAGCTGGTTGAGCGGGGAGCTCTGGACTACTTTTGGCATTTAAAAAGATATTCAGTAAAGTTTGCCACTGAAGGCTCTCTAGGAAAGTAAGCTGGCACTGGAGAAGAAGGAAGTTTTTCATTGACTGAATAGTCAATTAAAAGATGGGAAATTGAAGATGAACTCTCACAGAAGGGAGTAAGGGGTAGTTTCTTTCTCTTTTTTCTAGGGTTCTTTTTGGGGTTCAAAAAAAAAAAGTGGGTATTTCTTCTTGTGATATCTGCTGATACGTAGCAATAAAAATGAGCACCGTTAGTGAAGTTTTAAAGTCTTCAAGCTACTGAGAAGCTGAATGATGCAATATCTGATAATGCTGATTGTAGGTAAATAGGTATGTGAACTATGTGTATAGTGACTGAGTTTGAAGTGAATGTACAGGAGTGAGATTCTGGCATGATTTAAAAAAGACAACGACAAAACTAAACATTTCTTAGAAAGATGAATGCTTAGCACTTGAACCAAACAGTGCTTATTTAGCTATAGCAACCCATGGTTTGCATACCTCTAGGACTTCATGGACTGTAAGGATAATGGAAGATGGGGGACTGGTTCAGTTGTAAGAATGGATCATAGAATCACAGAATGGCCTGAATTGAAAAGGACCATGATGCTCATCCAGTTCCAACCCCCTGCTATGTGCAGGGTCACCAACACCAGACCAGGCTGCCCTGAGCCACATCCAGCCTGGCCTTGAATGCCTCCAGGGATGGGGCATCCACAGCAGAGGCTTTTGAATTAATGTGATAAAGAACCATAAAATTGCAAGTGGGGCTAAGGTAGTTAGGGAATGATTACTCAGTGCTTCAGTATAATTCATGGATTATTCATTTCTAAAACAAACATTTGCAGCACAGTATGTGAAACTAGGGAGTGGCAAGTACAAAACAAAAAGGATTAAAGTGAGGGATCTTGTTACACATAGAAAGATCATAGAGCTACCAAAAAGACTGGAAAAAAAAAAAACCCTCAAAAATATGTGTTTTTTTGACACTGAGTTTCTGGCTTGCTCAATATCTGGAAGCAAAGAAAATATTTTGCTAAAACATTGCTGCATTTTTGCCTATGTATTGCACTGTTTCCATCTGAACTAGCTAGAGACAGACTTTATATGTATGTGAATTTATTGAGGACACAGTGCAAGCATATTCACTAATTTTGGGGACCTTACATAAATTTCCTGCAAGAAGTACCTTGAAAACTAGTAAATAATAGGTGTTTGGAATGAGCTGTTTATTTTGGCATACACATTTGTGCTGATGCAAGATTGAAATGTGGCAAAGTTGATTCTAGTTAAAAGCATGCTGAGGTGAATGCTTTTAATTCGCCCTTTTTTGTTACACTAACGTGTGTTTCTGTATGGATCTGATGTTCATTTTTAGAATAACAGAATAAGATTTTTTAAAAGGTATAAGCAAATTCTACAGTTGGGCCAGAGGATCTTTGGGGGTTTGAGGAGGGTGGATTCAATTGCATTTTTCATAGTAAACAGATCATTCTGTGTCTTTAAAGGACTGTTTTGTTTTCACGATGTTTGGGGACTTATTTGAAGAGGATTTTTCCTTTATTTCAAACAATCATTATGGAAAAGGGAAGAAATCAAAGCCCAAAGATTCTGAGCCTCCAGCTCCCAGGGATTTCACCAATCTTAGTGGTATCAAAAACCAAGGTGGGACCTGCTACCTCAATTCCCTTCTGCAGACTCTGCTTTTCACACCAGAATTCAGAGGTACTGTGTTCAGAACCTTCTTAAAGTAATCTCATTGATATTTTGTAGTGACTTGCATTTCTGGTTGTTTATTAAAGAAACAGCGCAAACATAAACAGTTTATTTTAGTTGAATTGAAGTGAGTTATTACAGAATAGCCAGCTTTTAGTCTCTAAAATTAGTATTGTCACTTCTACACAAAATAGAACTGTTGTACACGTTGTATCGTAAACACTTACTGCTTGTGGAAAATAAGTGAAGCTATTGCTCTACATAACATGCCATTTATTTTGGAGTGCAAACATTACAGTTCATGGAAGAAATCAGTATTTTGCTATCTAAACATCTCCATGTTTACACATGCTTTTTAGCTTGAACCGTGTGTAATGATGAATGATGTTGAGATGTTGCACGATGTTTTGACAAAATTTGACAATTGTAACAAGTCTTCAAAGAAAAAGCATGACCTTTTTTCCTTACTGTGTCATTTTTCTTTACAATTACAGAGGCACTGTTCTCTCTAGGACCTGAAGAGCTTGGGACTCTGGATGATGTCGGCAAACCAGATGCAAAAGTATTTAAAAACTTCTTCTATTTTGTCACTGTTCAGTGTTGATCTGTATAGTTTGAAACAATATTTTCATGAGGGTGAATGAAAGCTTAACTTTGATACCAAAAGGCTGGTTGGGTTGAAATCCTTTTTGCACACAGATGCAAGTTTTCAGTATCATAGGATCACAGAATGCCTTGGGTTGAAAAGGACCA